AAAATTTGGGGCTTTCCACCTTAAAGTACATAATCATGTTTTCAAGACACCAAAACTTCCATAATCTACTTTAATCACATGTTTAACTCTTTTGTTTAGAACACTAACTCCCTCTACATGCTTTTCAAGAAAATCCCTTTCAATATAAGGTTTTATGTAATAAAAACATACCATCTATCTATCTATACGAAGATATTGAGGAGAAGCGAAGAAATCCCTAGCTTTAGCAAGAAGAGGAAGATATCCAGAAGACCAGCTTCAACGAAAACACGATATGTTCTAATTAATAGAAAGCCCTCGTCGTGCTCATCATTTTTGTAAATGGGACTAGGGTAAAATTCTCACTAAAGGAGATAAAATCCAAGATTTGAAGAGCTTTGAAGCTCAACAATGGCTGGAAAGACAGAGAGGAGAGAGAAAGAATATGGAAAGAATGAGGAAAAATGGGATAAAAATGACTTTTAAAGTGCTGATCCTGAATAGACAGCTCAAGGGAACATTTTACTGCTTAAGCGGTGAACGCAATCACTTAGAAGTTTTGCAGGTGTACAGTTAAAATACTAAGAGCCTCGCATCTCCGCTAAAGTGACTATTTAGTTACATTGCATAGTTTCTAAGGCACTCCCAGCACATCAACCTTATTTTCATATGTAAATACTTTCATTTAGCCTTTTACATTTATATTTCATTTACTTAAGTTTACAATGTAAATAAGGAATACCCCTCATTTGGATTCAAAGAAAAATACAAAAAAATCAATATCCAATTAAATCAAAAGTGACTCCCCCAGTTTTAGTACAAAAATAATTTTCCGACTGAAATTTCTAAGTTTGACGTTGAAGTAAAGTGATCAATACATTATAGAAAAATCCCATAAAATCAAATTAGATTATTTGATATATAAAGAACAATTACTGCCAAATATTATTTTCAAAATCGTAAATTTTGAAAAATTAAAATTTTATATTTAGAAAATTTTCAGACTAAGTCAAATTTTTGATAAAAAGCTTAGATCTTGACCTAAATCGTCACAAATAGACTATCAAGGGCCTTGGCTCCTTGTCCCAAGTAAGAAATGCTGCTTGAATTGCTTTATTGCTATCCAAGACTTTTCACTTATTACATATGGTCCCCTTGTTAGCTATCATCCAATATATAAAAAAATTGGAAAATTCTTTATATATATATATATATAAAACAAGCTTTTATGTGATGTAAAAAAGAATGAAAATACCAACTAAATATATACCTAGGGGTGTAAAAATGGACCGACCCGACCCACCTGAACTCGGGCTCAGGTTTGCACGTTGTTGGACCTAGCGAGCTCTCGCAAAAATTTAGGCCAGGGCGAGGCTCAAACTTGGGGTAGGCCTGACTATTTTTTTCATTTTCTTTATTTTTTTCCACAAAAGTTTTATGTTTTTTTCCCACCAAAATAGCTTGGAAATGGATGTGAGCCTCGGGCGAGCTGGGTCGGGCCTTGAGCGGGCTAGTGGACCAGGACTAGCCTCAAAACAGACACTACAAGAAAAACACTTTTGGCGACTAAATTTTTAGTCGCCAAAAGTACGTTTTTAGTCGCCGAAAGTCGAAATTTTACTTTCCCCGACAAAATTTTTTAGTCGCCACATTTGTCGCGTATATGTGGTCGGCGGAGGTATTGGCGACTAAAACTTTTTTAGTCGCCAAAATAAAAGTCTTTAGCAACCAAAATTTTAGTCGCCAATAGTGTTTTACACTTTTGAAAATCATACATTTACCGACTAATAATTTAGTCGCCAATACTCACTGAATCGCCGACTAAACAGCTTAGTCGCCAAAATAAAGATTTTTGGCGACTAATAATTTTAGTCGCCAAAGGTGTTTCCGTCAAAAAAAAAAAAACCCACTTTTTTTGTTTTTTCTGAGTTTCAGAACCGCGCCAACCGTCCCACATTCCAAACCTTTTTGCAACACACTCCCTCCACTATGCCACTACAACATCACATGAATATATATGCAATATATAGTCGCCAATAGTGTTTTACACTTTTGAAAATCATACATTTACCGACTAATAATTTAGTCGCCAATACTCACTCAATCGCCGACTACACTAATAATTTTAGTCTCCAAAGGTGTCGTCGAAAAAAAAAAAAACCCACTTTTTTTTGTTTTTTCTGAGTTTCGAACCCCAACCGTCCCACATTCCAAATCTTTTTGCAACACACTCCCTCCACTATGCCACTACAACATCACATGAATATATATGCAATATATATTATTTATATAGTATATTAACCGGTATTAATACAAAATAATATATATAAATATAATTTTTTTAATTCAATATAATTTATATAAAAAATAAATTATTTACTTAAAAAAAAATTTGGCCACTTTTGGCGACTAAATTAAATTTTTAGTCGCCAATTCTATCATTTTTGGCTACTAATTATTATTTAGTCGCTAAAAAATTAAGTTCCGCCTACAAATAAGCAGTTTTGGCGACTAAACCTGTTTTTAGTCGCCAAAAACGTCCCCTTTTGGCTACTAAACTGAATTTTAGTCGACAATGGACTGTTTTTAGCTACTAATTTTTTTTTTTGTAGCCAAAAAGCTTCACTTTCAGCGACTAAACTGTATTTAGTCGCCAAAACCATCACTTTTGGCTACTAAATCATTTTTAGTCACCAAAAACCGTGACTTTTGGCTACTAAACAACCTTTAGTCGCTAAAACCCCTACATTCGGCGACTAAACTGCCTTTTAGTCGCTAATACCCTCGTATTTGGCGACTAAACTCTTTTAGTCGGCAAAAGTTATCAATTTTGGCGACTAATTCCATTTTAGTCGCCAATTGTACTACTTTCAGCGACGAAAAATGTAATTTTAGTCGCCAAAAGTGTTTTTTGTTGTAGTGAGACGACCCAAGCACAGGTTCTCGGGTCTGGGCTGTACTAGGCCGAGAGCAGGCTTTAGGTGGGCCGTGTGCTCGTAGGCTGATTTTACACCCCTAATACACCTTGAACCTTTGTTTGTTTTTGTTTTTCAAAGTAAAATTTAATAATATTATTGCATTAATCATATCTTATTTAACATCATGAGAACTCACAAAGATTCAATTAAGGGACTTCCCTTGTAGAGTGGTGTTTTTTTTCAAAACTCGAGTTACTCATTGAAGACTTAATTTCACTTCAATAGATAATTGGGTTGATATATACCCAAAATATATATATATATATATATATATATATCAATTAATTTATAATTTATATGTTAAAATTGAATAGATATGACTTCTCTTCTGATCATGATAAAACTTGTTAGGTTTTATTTTTTGGCAACCCCGTTTGACAAAACTCCTTTCAGTTGTATTTGTTTTTGCACTTTTTATTTCAGTGAGGCTATGAGAGTTTAGATGCGAATCCAACCAGAATTGTGCCTTTCAGAGAGAAGTTTGTGATGCTAATGCTTTCAAGATTGCCACTTCGCTGATTATGACGGGGATCGAGCTGCCCGGTCAGCTCGCGGGGGTCCAGGGGGCAGCACCCATTGGCGGGTCCGGGGCAGCGCCACGGCGGGGTCGAGGGGCAGCGCCCCCGAAGTAAAATGCAAAAATGCATTCAAAGTTGCCTGTCCGATCATGTTATATTTTTCCAGTTTTTCCAGTTTTGGCCTTCCCGCTCGAGCGGGGTTTACAAACTCACAGTATATCTGCTATGCCTGAAAAAGTACTGGATGGTGTGATTCGCCGCTCGAGCGGCAAAACCGACGCTCGAGCGTGGAGCCTGTATGAAATCACAGATTTTGAAGTCTCCGCTCGAGCGGGAAAACCCACGCTCGAGCGGACTGCGCGATCCCAGATTTCCAGATTTGTTAAGGAGTTGGTTTTCTTCTGAAACTAGGATTGCTTTGGTTTTCTATAAATAGTTGGTTTTCTCCCAACACTAGGATAACTACTCCAGATCTTATTTTTGGATCTTAAGGTTTATATCTGGAGATATTTTGCTAGTTTCTTTGATGTTTTTATTGAGTATTCAACTCATGGTTTAAAGAGAGTACATCAAAGGTTTGGTTTTGTTCTACAAAAGAGAGAGTTGTTCTTCGGTGGATTCTGAAGAATTCGAGCCTGAAGCTTTGGTGGATTCCGGGGTGGCTCATCGTAAAGACAATTCCGAGGTGAAGACGGGTTGGAAGAGTCACATAGAGGTTGGTTCAATTAGACGTGGATTCGCTAGGTAATTGAGAGTATACCTGTGTAATTCCTTTAAATCTTCTTAGTGGATTGTTTTGTGGCTGTTGCCCATGGTTTTTTTATCACAGTTGGAGGTGTCCAATTGTGGTTTTTTCCACGTTAAATCGTTGTGTTTCTTTGTCTTGATTGTTTGATTGGGATTGTTTTATTCTGCTTTAAATTGATACATAATCACAAATCAACATCTAGGGGATTTCTAGATTTTTCAAAACTAAATAAATATTAATTTGTTGTGTATTAATTTAGTATTAAATATTAATTTATTTTTCATTTTAAAAATGAAATATGATAATTTTAACAATTGATAAATAAAAAAATTATACATGTCTGGGCTCCTCCAGAATTAAAATTTTGATTCCACTCTTAAGTAATAGAATCTATTACATCAATAATACATAAGGGCTATGTTTGATTCAAAAGATTAATAGTGAGGTATTAATAATCCAATCAAATTAGTGTGGTATTTACTATCCAATTGGATTAATAGGATTAGATTAATAATCTCACCCCTATCCCATTACTAATAATCCTACAAATTTGTTGGATTAATTATCCGTTGGATTAATAATCCTAAACCAAAATATTAAAACAAATATAGGATAATTGGGCCCACGGACTAATAATCTCAATCCTATACTCTAATCTATCCAATCAAACATGTCCAAGGTGATATATCAAAAGTAGTATAAAAATTAAATAAATTATAACATTATTATTTTATAAATTGGGGTTTTTTTTTTTTTTTTTCAATTGGCCACTAACTTTTATCTGTCACATTTCATCATGAGATCACCTGGCTTTCGCATCATCTTTTCAAAATTCTGCCGTTGATTACTCATCTACTCTGTCGGTTAAGCTCAAATATCTTCGGTCTTTTGTTTTCCTTTATATTCTAGTGTATTTTCTTTCTCCCCTTGAAGATTTCTCCATTATTTTTCTCAGGTTTGGTTCTGTGTTCTCTCTTGCTCTCCTTTCTCGATTTTGTTGAAATATTTAGCCTTCCTGTTCTTTGAATGACCCAGTTCATTTGAATTTTCGTTAGTTTTCTTTACCCATCTGTCGATTTTATTTTACTTTCCCCCAAAATTGTGATTTTGTATTCTTTGCCCTTTCTTCATTGTTATTATTACTATTGTTATTATTATTATTATTATTTTCATATTGTTTTACCAGCATTCAATTTTCTTTGTTTCATGGTTGTTTTTTTTCTTCTTCTTTTTTTTTTTTGGTTATTTGCAGAGGTAGATGTTGAAAGTGGATCAAAGGTAAGCGTATATTTGTTCCCTTTTATGTTATTTTGTACTCCTTATTCTTTTTATGTCTCCTTGTTTTGGCTGTTACGTTTTTCTTGGTTTGATTTTTTTTTTTTTTTTTGGGTTTTGTTTGCAAAGGTGGATTTTTGGGCCCGTTTGTTTTCCGCACTAGCAGTCCGGAGTATGTTTGTTTTGCTTATAGAGGTCTAGGTTCGTAATCTCTTTGAATTATGAAATGTCTTGAACAAATGGATTGATAGTTTGAGCGAGAAGATAGTATTAGAAAATAGTTCTTTTGAATTAGAGTGTTACTGATTATTCGAGGGACGATTGGTCGAACGTTCGGCCGGTTAATCAGTCGATCTTCCAACTGGTCCTAGGTCAAGTTCAAATATTTTTTTTTTACATGTTGGGCAACACATTTGAACATTAATGTTTAATGTTTTTGTATTTTTTTTTTGGCTAAAAACCATGGTTTTATTTATTTTATTATTTTATATAAAAATATATTAATAATCTCCACATTAATAACTATCATCAAAATAAATACAATTTTACTCAATTCATTTACTAACAATTTCCTTATTATTAATCTCCTTTATTCTATTTCTAAAAACAAACTGCCCCTTAGAGCATAAACTTAAATGTTTTTCCTTTTCTTTTCTTTTTTTTTGTGGAATTGTTTTGTATTTGTATTTTATTACTATTACTTCATTGGGGTTGAATTTTTCTTGTGTTTGATTCAAGGAGTTGGGGAAGAATTTTTTGGTGAGGGAATGGTACTTACATTTTAAATACCCTTTTTTTTTTTTTTTCCAAATCCATGAAGTACACATTAAACACAACTTAAGGAACCTTGGTGTTTATTCTCTCTTCTTGTGTTTGCAAGCTCAGATATACCAAACCAAGCCATGGTAAATTTATTTTTTGTTGTTAGGTTTTCTTTTTTTGTCCCCCTTGTCTTACATACTCTCGATCAGATGCATTTTTTGGGTTGTTTTGTGTTTCTAGGGATCAAATTTGGGTTTAATTTGAGCTAAAATTATTTTCCTTTTCGATAGGGCATGATCAGTTGTGTAGTATAAGGTTGGTACAATTCAAAATGGACGACCCTTAATTCAAAATATAGTCTCTCTTCGCTGCCAAAAATAAAAAATAAAAACACAGATATAAGAACGGAGAATTAATCATAGAATCTTCTCAATGGTTCATTTGCTGTGTATGGTTGTATATGTGCTTCATTCAATTTGTTAAATATCAAATTCTATCTAGTTCGTTTTGTTTATATAACGAACTATATGTGACAACCATTCATTCGCTTTGCTGTCACTCTGTTGGACTTGGGATATGTGATGCCCCGGTAGGAGATTATGGTCTTGTTTGGTCTAACTGTTAAAACAGATTAAAGATTATAACTTAACAGATTAAAGATTATAACTTAACAGATTATAGATTATAACTTTAATCAGAAGTTGTTAATCTGTTTGGTATAGTTGTTGGATTATAGATTTAAGTTGCTGAGTAGTGTTTGTTAAATAAGCTGTGAAGTAGCTTTTTCAATTAACTTTTATTTTTTATTATTCACTATTTGTCTACATTTCTCATAAAAAAATAATAATAATATTTTATAGTCCATTTGGATCTTTTTCTATTTTTAAAAAAATAAAAAATAAAAAAATTTAAGAGTATAACCGTAAATTAACATGTCCACAGCAGAAGCTGATAATCAGAAGCAAGTGGTAAGCAGCTTCTCAGAATCAGCTTTTTTAACTTAAAATAAGTTGTTAGAATAAGAAGTTATTTGAAATAAGTTTAACTAAACAGTCCAAAATAATTTTTTAAAAGCCAGAAGCTATAAGTTGGCTCAAAAAAGCCACACCAAACACCCCCTATCTTGAGTTTTTTTTTATATTATTATTCGAACTGTTTATTTTGTAAAGTTCGTCGAATATATTATTCTTATAAAAATTTAAGTTAATTGAGAATTCGTAATCCTATGATCCAAATATAATTGTTTTAAAAAGATTATCAAAATAATGTTAATTGTTTATTTTTAAAAAAAAATAAATGTGCTCTTGTCACAAAGTTAGAGATATTCAATCAATTTAATTTTTTACATAAATAATTTACTTAACAAATTTTACAATATGAATCATTCAAATCACCCGAAATGATTCGAAAAAATATGACTTGATCCCCAGGTCCCATTTTGTTTGGTTATTTTTATTATTATTCTCATTATTTTTTAGGTTGGTGGTTCTTCATGATGGATCACATTTTTAGGGAAACCAATTTTCTATGACAACTGAGGATTACACAAAGGAGTATTACAATGCTCCTATCTTCAAAATACCTATTAAAAAGACTATTAATGTGAATAAACCGTGGTAATTAATTGTGTAACTACATAAAAGAATATAAAAGAATTCTATTATGCAAACTTCTTACCATATAATTTTAATTATGCCATTTTTTTTTAAGTATAATTAATTTTCTTTTTTAGTTATAACATTATTTTGAGATTTTTAGTTATGTTTCATTTGTGTGTGGTTATGATTTTTTTTTTTTTTAATTATAACTCAGAAAGTATAAAATTATATCATTTTCTTCTATTGTTATAAAATATATATGGTACACACACCTCTCAAAGGTGTGTATCATAGTCTTTCCCAACTATATATATATATATATATATATATATGTGAGTATTGTTATTCAATTTAAAAAATTAAACTTGCTTTCTACACCTAATGATGTGGCGCTCTATTAAATATCTAAATCAATTCTCTTTTTCATTTATTCTCTAATTATCAATAAATCATCATGTTAATATATCATTGAATTTATAAAATGAGCTTGTATGTCATTTTTCATGTATATATATATATATATATATACTTACTATATATAAGCAAATGTAGTGATCTTTTAAAAAACTCTAAACTCTCAATCCTAACATATCATGAAACTCTTTCTTACGTGGCCTATCCATTCTTCTCTCATTCTATTTTCCTTTTTTCTTTTTTCTTTTCTCTTTTAAATTTTTTATTTCACTTTTTAATTACTTAGAGCATGGATATATATGATATCATATGGATAAGAGAGTTTCCATATATTTAAAGATAAAAGATTTTCAAAATATTTAAAGATAAAAGATGAATTTGACTTTAATTCAAATTTCTCCACTAGAGAGTTTGACTCTAATTCAAATTTCTTCATCAGATTTATATCTTACCCAAAGCTATTTCAAATTTCTTCATCAGATTTATATCTTATCCAAAGATATATCAAAAAAAAAAAATTTAAAAAAAATTTAAACATATAAATCTCAAAAACCAATATGAAATTAGACAAAAAGATTGTAGAATAGAAATAACATTGCAAAGAAATTAAACATGTAATTTAACCAATTATGCAAAAAATTTGGCATCTTATGTGAAAAGAAGCATATGTTTTAAATCTCATATTATATTTTTTGCTCTCTTTTTCATTTGTAGGTTTTTTTTTATATTATTTTTGTTTATTTGGTGTATTTATTTATTTTTTTGCTTTATAATCTAAGTAAGTTGTTGAAATTATAACAATGTAATATATGCGCTTAAACCTACTGTCACGCCCTAAATTTTATTACTCGGATAACATTACCAATATTCATTAATTGAGTTCATTTACAAATGACAATTCATCATTTGATGAAATGATGAATAATTAAATATACATGTTCCCTCTCGTGATACAATAAAGACATTTACATACAAATAAAAAAAAATACCCTGAGGCTTACAATAAAAGAGAGGACACTACTCTTTACAAAATAATAGCACTCGGCCAAACAAACAAATGAAGTAGTACAATCCATCACTACATTACACTTATGAAATGGTAAAACCCATTGTTTGATCTTCAAATCCGAAAAGCATTTCTTGAACATATGTACAGGAAGGGGGTGAGCAACCACTAGCTCACCAAACAGTCTCATATTAAAACATTAAGAGATATGCGAGTACAACGATAATCATACATATACTTGAAATCATACAATGTCAAAAACTATACGATTCTATTACATCATCCCTTAAATTCTATTTATTTAATTAACCATAACTAGTTAACTTAAATAAATAAACATGTTTTAATGGCAACATAACATCCTTTTTTTAATTCATTCAATTACCTCATTGTTAATTGAATCAAATAATTAAACAATTCATAACGACATCTAACAAAGCATCAAATACATTTTATATAGTCTTATGAGATGAATGCATATGCCATATCATGCTCAAAATATTTTTCTCATCTTTTGAAAATTTTATGCACAATGCCAATTTGAAAACACATTAATCCAACAATTTCAATAAAATTCTAAGGTGGTAAATACGACTCAGGTAATCCTTAGGCTGGTGTCTGCAAGTAAATTATACAAGTATTACCAAATTGTCATTTTTACCGGTATTAACCAGAAGGCTCGACACCTATCCGCGCGGATTTCTTGTCTTTCACCATGGACACTTAGGCCAACTTAACCAATACCAACTACACCCCCTATCCGGACTTACCAATGTATTTACCAAAAACAAAACAATAGATCTTGTTTCATAAAACAATTTCTCTTTTAAAACCATAACTTTCCAATGCAAGATTAAAAAATCAATTTCAATAGTGGTTCAATAAAATGATAATGCAAAATGTACAATCCTTCATATGATTTCATTTCCAATTTCCTCCACACAATTCTCCATTGTGATCAATTTCCATATCCCTATCAATGTAATATCATGATACAATCCCAAGAGATAATATAACAATGCCAATGTTCATGTATTTACCACATGTAAATCAACAACTTCTAACTTAGTATTTTCAAGATAATTCAACAATATTCCTTATATAAAACAAACTCCCAAAGTCAAACATTTTCTTACCTTTCCAAAAATCTCCTCATTTAAATACCAACATGGCAATCCCCTACCAATTATCAAAACTAAAATTTCTAAGCAGTAGGTTCATCA